CTCCGAGAAACCAAGAGACCCCCAAAGCTAACGACTGCTTCAGGTCTCTCTCGAGAGTGACTTTTCTGGCGAGTTCCCCAATGAGTGAGTTGTTCTCCGATGTAGAGCTTAGAGTTAGGAGCTCCCTTTCTTTGAGAAGAAACACAATGATAAATTTAAATTGGGGTGTGAAGCTTCCATCGAATTTAATGAAAAATTCTTCAATTGCTCTGAGAAATGTACCCTCCACAGCTTTGAACAAGATAGGGAAGAAAAGAAGAAGGTAGATGTGATTTCCCGGCCAAAAATTTGCTGGAGTTTTCACCAGAAAACAAGATTCATGGACTAGTTATGTAGCATATCGGGGCTCTTAAGGTGGAGAATATGTTGTTGAAGAAGGCGATGGAGGACATGAGGGTCGATGTGATCGCCGGGAAACATGGCAGTTTTGGCCAAAGAATGGATTCTGGTGAGATATCAGTGAGTTCATAGATGAGGGGAAGAAGGGCTTCGTAGGGTTTTGTACATTCAAAGAGATGTCCGATATTTCAAAAACTTGACAACAAACAACTAGAAAAACTTAAACAAGAAAAGCTATCTGGTAATTGAAATGTCAGACAACTCTTTTATTTTGGAAAAAATTAGCCCACTTCTTGTCTAGTATTTACATTGCTGGATAGGATAGCAACTTAGGAAAAAAATTGACATCAGAGGGGTGAGGTGCTCGTAATTTCAGGCAAATGACTCTCAAGTGTACGCTATTTTGATTTCAATGCTATCATAAGGGTTGGGATTTCAGCAACTGATATACATCTTTAAGCTACATTAAGGTGTGCATTATTTTGACTATTTAAGGTTGACATCTTATACAAACCACACCATTTTGATATTCTATACAAAAAAAATGCGATGGGATAACCTTTATAGCTTATGTTGCATTTTATATACAAATAGTGGCATATGTTTCGCATATAAAACATTATTAAAGTTCATGGCATAATGGTTAGCTCTTTTAACGTAATTGTAATAGGTTCTAGGTTCAAAATTCATCCTCAAATTTGCTTAAGTTATACAAAGCAAAATAGGTGGACATTGCATCATGTTTGGATATCAAACACTTTTGATATGCTTTTCAACATGCCATGTTACAGTAAACAATTTTCAAACTTATGGACAACGTCCATCACATGTGTGGCTGGCTGACATTAAGTGTGGACACTTGACATGAAGGATAAGTGAAATGTCTTTGTAACATTGTTGCATGAAAAAAATTTATATAAGGGCCAGGCCCTAACAATCAAAACGTGCACTTCAAAAATTCATTTTGATGCTCCAAAATGCCTCAAATCGATCATCTGGGCTTCAATATGTATGAACATGAGAAAAAATAGATTTCAAGTCTTGGAAGTCGTGCACGTTGCTATGTATTTTTTAGGCCGTTAATTTTCAAGTGTTCATAAATCTACTGGATCTATATTAGTTCTGAAACTTTAAATTTTATTATTAGAGATGGAAACAAATTTTTAAGCCCTAACATAGATTTATTGTACTAAATCATCTTTGATACTATTCGAATGTGTGCTTTACTTGGATCGTTCAGGGCCTCAGCCTTTTACAAACTATACCCTTGTTGCATTTGCCTCGATCTCAACCCGCCATCTGGCTGGAAGGTAAGAGGATAATTTTTTTTTTTTAAAAAAAGCGAAATACAAAAGTCAAAAAAGAGAGAATCAATAGCAAAGTACTTTATTGTTGCATTTATTGAAGGGATGCTTAAATTGTTGGTAAAATATAATTTATAAAGGAAAATAATAAAGAAGCCGTTCATTTTAGAAAGTACAAGGTGGATCTATTATTTTCGTATTGTATTATGTGGTTACTGTTATTGCCTTGTGCCGTTGTCTATCTATTATTTTATATATAAAGAGAGGAAGACCCATTTCCTTTTTTGGAAAACGTTTATGCGTGACCCAACAACGTGACATTATTTCTTAGTCGTTTGATCTGAATCGAACGGCTACGATTGTTCATCCCACAATGTCACGTCTATTATTTTATTTTTCGTCTTTTTTAAGCAAAATATTTTTGGATTAAATTTTGTGTGTCTTTTTATAAAATTAGGGCAAACTTAAAAAAAGTAATATATATATATATATATATTGTTTTCTATAAAAATAAATAACCAAAATGCCCATTCAATTTTCAAAAGTATTTTGGTAATTTTTCATCACAAAAAATATTTATTTTTATTTTTATCATGTGCACCCGGCATGTCTCAAATTTTGCTTTAAAATTATTTGTAAAATAAAAAAAAGAAAAAAAAAACTAAGAGCTAGCTTATGAGATTGTGATTCTAGGCCATCTCAACCACCTACTCATAATTGATGGCTGACAGGGATCACATATACTATATATAGGGGTGGGGTGGCATAAAAACCTTCAGTTTTACTTTTATTGATGTCTTTTTTGTATTTTTTGGTTTTATTCTATAATTTCTAATTTTTTCCCATTTGGCCCTTCTATTGCTAGGAATTATCCAGCGGTTCATATTAATAGCTATATATTAATCTATCTCTCCATAATTATTCATGTGTATAGCATGCCCAAATTGAAACTCCCAATCTCTCCCTTTGTATGTGGTTTCTCTCCCACATCCTCTCTCCACTTCGGTTCTCTTTTATCCTTTTCTTCATCTTTCCTATATTAATTGTGTAATATTATTTTTAGACTAATTATCCATTATTGTTTAAATATTACAAGAGATTCTATTAATTATAAAGTACTAATTCGATCACACATTTATTAATTATCTCATCTTTATCTCTCTTACATTTGAGAAACATTTGCTCTCTCTCCTCATAGGCACATACACAAAAGAAAAGAAGAGAAAATTACAAAAAACCCCGAAGAGCACACTTTCTATGCAACTTACCTCCAACTTAAATTTTTCTTTCACCTTTTTTTTCTTCCAAAAAACACACTTTCTATACAAATATCCCTCCAAGGGAAACTTTTTTTTTTAAGATGGAAATGCCCTTCCCGTACAGAATCAATTTGGCCAATTTTGACGTTGATTTTCGAAGCTCATTGCTGGAGCAAATCACCGTAGTGCCGGAGCGTATGATCCATTGCCGAAGCACACATACATAGTGCTGGAGCGCCGTGACTCCATATTACACTGCCGGAGCGCACTTACATAGTGCCGAAGAGCATGATCTATTGTCGGAGCGCACATAGACAGTGTCAAAGCGCTGTGACTCTAGAGGGTTGCACTGCCAAAGCGCATCATCTATTGCCGGAGCGCACATACATAGTGCCGGAGCGTCGTGACTCCAGATTCCACTGTCGGAGCGCACTTAAACAGTGTCAGAGCCATGATCCACTGCTAGAGCGCACATATTCTACTACCGGAGCACTGTGACTCCAGAGTGTTGCACTGTCGGAGGGCACTTACTACGCAGTGCCGGAGGGTACTTACTACACAGTGCCGGAGGGCACTTACCACGCAGTGCCGGAACGACATCTACTGCCGAAGAGCACATACACAGTACCGGAGCGCTGTGACGCCAGATTCCACTGTCATAGCGTATTTACGCAGTACCAGAGTGCATGATCCACTGTCGGAGCGCATATAGACAGTACTGGAGCGCTGTGACTCCAGAGTGTTGTACTCTCGGAGCGCACTTACACAATGTCGGAGCACACTTACACATAGGAGAGAGGCGTGGGTAAGGTACAAGTAAGGGAGGGTAGTTTAAGTAATTTTTTTTTTTTTATTTGGTTAGGGAGGTATTTGCATAGAAAATATATGGGGAAATAAGTGAGAGACAAAATTAGGATGGAGGTAAGTTCCATAAAAAGTGTAGTCTTAGGTTTTTTTGTAATTTTTCCAAAAACAAATGCACACCGGCTCTCTCTCTCCTGATTATCTCCCTCTCAATACTATTTATTATTATTATTAAAGTAAGTGCAATAATTTATTTATTGTAAAGATGTTAATTATAGTTTCATTATTAATAAAATGATTATTATGACGCACTATTTAAATTTTTTACTTAATATCATTAATCTATTCTACCATTAC